CTTTAGAAGCATATCCCAACTCTAGAAAAAGCTTAAAAAACAAAAACAAAAAAGAAGAAAGGGAGCTTTTGCCTTAGGCCTTCAGTATCGGAGAACAGTTTAAGTGATTGAACAGCATCAGCTGGTAGGGTGGTAGAAAGGTGCAAGAAAATGGAGCATTTGAATTGAGGGGAGGAGAAGTAATGAATAAGAGAAGAGAGGCAGCACAAGGATTTCTACTTATTTTCTGGATTGTTCTGTTCCCCTTCCCCACACAGGCAAACACACAACCAGGCACGGCTGCCAAGATTTTATTAAGCAATCAGACTAGAAACCCTTGCAGATAAGAGTTTTGGCAATAAACTGCGAAATGCCTGCCAAGTCAGTTTTCACTCACAGTCAGCAAGAGAGTTTCTCCTCAGTCCGATTCAGTAGCAAAAAGTAATCCACGAAGCCAGAATTGGCCAAGGTCCAATTTAGATTTCAGGTAACGCGATGTGACTCTCACGTTTTTAACTTTGACCGTCACAAAGCCTGAAGAGCAATCACACCCACTTTTATTCCTTGTGGGGTATGGCTCAGTGACTCAGCTCAATCTCTGGCCCTCCCACGCCTCTTTCGTTGCTGCGCACACTTCTCCCTCCGACGCTGCCTGGGATCAAGCCAGGATTCATCATCCTCACTCCCTATCTGTTGTTGTTCCGATATGCTTTCCTCCTGGCATATCCCAGGCTGTTCCTCTTGGCCTTCGGATGGAACCTGAGGCATTGCCAGAGAGGAGGGTCCTGGAGAGGGAGGCCTTGTCAGTCCCTCCCCATCACCTTCTGAGTCCTCTTCCGGTTAGGACAGGCTTGGGAGTCGGGGTCACAACATGGATGGAGGCTTTTTTTTTGTGCATCTATGTACCATATTTGCGCTTGTGTTTTAGAAGTACGTGTGGGGAAAATGGGTTTGTGAGTGAACCTTGTATTGGCTAAAGCAGAGGTGTGAAACTATGGCCCTTTTATGACTTGTGGACTTCAATTTCCAGAATTCCTGAGCTAGCATGGCTAACTCAGGAATTCTGGAAGTTGAAGTCTCCAAGTCATAAAATGGGCCATAGTTCCACACCCCCTGGCTTAAAGAATGGTTTGCATTCCAGGACTCGGATGTTTTTGGTATGCAAGTTTTGGACTGCCTGTGATAATCCCTATGTCTAACCACACCAGGTTAAAGATTCTAATAAAAAGTCTCCGGAGAAGGGCGGCATATAAATCAAATTAAAAAAAAAAAAAGATTTCAAAAGTAAGTTATTTTTCTTTAACAATTAGGACACATTGATTTGATCTTGCCGAGCAAACTCAAATGTGTGTAGGTGGCAATTTACATGCAGAAATCCATCACTCTTCAAAACAATATCACATTTATATATGAATCATCTTGGTAAATAAGCTGGGAGTATTGATGATTTTAAGTCTTTTTATGATTCATTTTGCAGATACTGTATTTGACAGACGTTTTACATGAATTCCATTGTTTTGTAGGGCATATCAGTTTGGCTTTATTCAGATCAGCATACTAGCCAGCATATTTCTAGAGTTACATGGGTCAGCTTCTTAGCAGATCACATTTTTTAAAAAATGTGCAAGAATATAGAACGTTAACAATTGGGATTTTAGTTGGCCTTGCAATAGGACATGATTTTCATGTGAAAATATTGTACCTAAAATATCACAGTACTATCCCTTATTGCTCTGATTTCCCACCATACTAAATATGTAGTTCACTGTGATCTTTTTAATTTTCATGTTTTTGTATCAACATCCTGTATTTACAGTGGACATTCAGACTGAAGAGATTGTGACATCACAAAAGTAACAAACGTGCAAATTTTATTGTTGAGCTTGGAGATGGAATGGTTTATTTATTATTATTTTTGTGCAATCCCTGAATTGCACAAAGATTCTTTTTAAGAACCCTTTCATAAGCTAATGGTTCTATAGCAGTGTTGGCTATAACCCTAACCCTAACCTCTATGATCATTGATGTTGTTTGGGAAGGTCTTACATAAGACAGTCTTCCAGAGATTAATAAGAACTTGGAGTGATACTTCTTTGGTGGTTATGCTGAAGTTGTGGAATTTCCATTAAGGGAAAATCAATCAACCAAAATTTGTATTTCTGAGCAGGCAGCACAGATCTGGCACTGCAAATGCCAGCGAACCTTTGCCTCTGTCCTGGACCAAGATGAACATTTGCACTGTGTTACAATTTGCGATTAATGGTTTTGAGTGTTGTGCTTTAGAGAAGCTTATGAGTTTTATAGAAACTTCAAAATATATTGAGGAGATAGTAATTCTTTTTTTCCCCTCTCTCTCTCTCTCTCTCTCTCTCTGTCTGTCTCTGTCTCTGTCTCTGTCTCTGTCTCTCCGTCTCTCCCCCCCCCCTCTCTCTTGCTTTATTTCACAGTTGGTACACATTCTAGATTGTCTTGCATTTTGCCTCTTGTGATGCAGAAATTATGTTTTTAGTCCGCCTTATTACGTAAGAGCTTTAATATGTCTTAGAAGAAGAACCATCAAAATCTGGAATATTGTGCATTGAAACTGATACAGTAATTTTAGAACTGTCTTATGCATGTTAATTGAGAAGCCCAACCACAGTCATAACATATAAGTGCATATAAAATTGCAGTCTAAAGCTTCAGTTGGCATTATTATGCAGCTTCTAGATAACCATAAAACATAAATTGCATTGATATGGCGGATACCAAGGTTTAGCAGTCATAAATATCATGCAACAATTTTGCATTTTGTGGAAAGAGGAGTGGATTATAAGGGTGGGCAGCATCATGTGGACGTTTCTCAAAATTCACCAAAGGGTAATTTAACTATGAAAAATAAAAGCTTTTATGAAAATATTTTGTCCTTTCTTTTTGTTAGTTTTGCTAAATCTGTTGAATGTTTCTGAGAGTGCTTTGTATTTTGTTCAGTGCATGGATTGTTGTCACATATATGTGTACCTCATAATTGAATATTCATGGGAGCGAAAAGAAACTTGACATTCCATTCTCTCCACTATCTGTTGCCTTTTGCCCTTTCTCAGTTAATTTACAGCTATTCCATCAAGTTGTAGAGTAGAAAAAGAGAAGCACGGCTATTCCATTGCCTCTGCTGAGAAACTCAGACTTCTGAGTAACATTTTCCTTGTTAGCTCTGGATCGGTAACCTAAAAGGATATGTTTAAAATAAGAACTAGCTATAGAATGAGGCATTTGTTTCCATAAACTTCCAATCTCATGACAGTGGGCTATTGCTAATGAATGCTATAAAATAAATCCACTAACTACGGTACATACAGTGTTATTTTTCCCTGCTCTTGAATGTTTTGCTTGATTTTTCTTCTCTGTGTGAAATGGAGATAATTGAAAACAAATTCCTAGTGTGCTATCTAAATGACATTGCATTATCTAAATGATACCTAAATATTTAAAATGACATTGAGACAGAACTCCTTGATAATATCATTAATGTGTTCTTAAAAATCTTTAGAATACAAGCAAAACAGTTGCTGAAATAGTTTAATGGTTTAATGGTTCTCTGTTTGTTAAATTTATAACCTGTCTTTCTTCTAAGAACTCTACACTTCATATAGCATTGTCTCCTCCCATTGTTTCCTCCCACAGTTGCAATACTATGGATTAGTCTAGAGTAGGAAATTGACTCAAAGGCAGCCATTCTCTGGCTAACAATGGTCTTGAACCAGGGTCATCATCATCTTAATTCTACATGTTAATCACTGGCCTGGGACACTACAGTGATAATAGAATAACAGAGTTGGAAGGGACCTTAGAGGTCTTCTAGTTCCACCACTTGCTCAAGCAAGAGACCCTATACCATTTCAGACAAATGGCTGTCCAGTATCTTCTCAAAAGCCTCCAGTGATGGGGCACTCATAACTTCTGAAGGCAAGCTGTTCCACTGGTTAATTGTTCTCACTATTAGGAATTTTATCTTAGTTCTAGGTTACTTCTCTCTCTGTTCGGTTTCCATCCGTTGCTTCTTGTCTTGCCTTCCTGGTGCTTTGGAAAATACATTGACTCCCTCTTCTTTGTGGCAGCCCCTCAAATGTTGGAACATTGCTATCCTGTCACCTCTAGTCCTTCTTTTCACCAGACTAGACAAACCCAATTCCTGCAACCGTTCTTCATATATTTTAGCCTCCAGCCCCTAATCATCCTTGTTGCTTGTTTCTGCACTCTTTCCAGTGTCTCTGCATCTTTTTTATAATATGGTGACCAAAACTGGATGCAGTATTCTAAGTATGGTCTTACTAAGGCTTTATAAAGTGGTACTGATGCTTCACGTGAACTTGATCCTATCCCCTCTGTTAATGCAACCTAGTTGTAATGTGTAATGTGTAGATGTAATGTGGGTTTTAAGATGTAGAAATTGATACCTAAGGATTCTAATCTGAGGGATTTTAGGAGATGAATACAATTAATGTATTCCTAATTTTCGTCCTATTTTTAAATTAAGCTTGTGAAACTCTTTCCTGCCCCTCTTCTAAAGAAGAAAATATATATGTTCTGTTACTAGAATCATCAAGCATTTATTTCCTATTTGAAAAATCCATCCCTGATGCAAGTTCTTCTGCAATGTGGATAAGATAAGAGTACAAGAGTATTGGATGAATTTGCTCCTGACTGGACTTTACTCAATAACTAATCATAGGGTGTGTCATAGTTCTCCAAGAAGCTCTGAGAAATGAAGCGAGTAAAATGACATCTGTGAGGGAAGTGCAAAAGACAAAAATGATTGGACACAGTATAGGATTATGCTGATAGTAGTGAAATGAAGCCGCCTCCATTCACCGATAGGCTGATAGGACATATTTACAAAATTCTGTGTAAATCAGATTTTTAATATTTATTTTCAATTAGTCATAATATGGACATAATTGAATATTAAATTTGCTTAAAAGGGGTTATTAATACATGAAACACCTTCTCTTCTGAATCAATAAATGTGTCTTTACTTGTAGGGAGAGATGAAACCATGCAGGCTGTCAGACCATCTTTCCTTGACTATTTTGAGCAAAAGGAGAAAGAGAATTGGCAAAACAACTATGGAAGGCAGGTATCTGAAAGATGTTCCTCAGATTGGAGAGTTCCTCTGGATGGTGATTATGAATTCGTAAGTAAAATACTTTTGGCCTGTTCGTCAATTATAATTTCTTCTGTTTTTACTGATATAGAAAGAAATAGCCATTTCAAAGGCAAACTTGAAAAGCAACCAGAAAACACTTTAAAATATTTAAAAATGTAAAGAGTGTTTATTTAAAGCATACAATTTAAAAACATTTAGAATGCAAATAAAATCAACATGTTGTTCAACACGCTTATTTTCTGATTATATTACGGCTAAATCATTCAGTTACTGTGAAAATAGTATACAGATTGTCCTTAACTTACGTCCACAATTGAGCCTAAAATTTCCATTGCTAAGCAAGACAGTTGTTAAGTGAGTTTTGCCCCATTTCATGATCTTCCTGACATAGTTGTTAAGTGAATCACTGCAATTGTTAAGGTAGTAAAATGGTTGTTAAGTGAATCTGACTTCCCCATTGACTTTGTTTGTCAGAAGTTTCCAAAAGGGGATCACATGACCTGGGGACACAGCAACCATCATAAATACATGCCAGTTGCCAAGCATCTGAATTTTGATCATGTGACCAAGGGGATGCTGCATCAGTCATGTGAAAAACAGTCATAAATCACTTTTTGTTGTAACTTTGATCACTAATTGAATGATTATAAGTCAAGGAGTACCTGTATAACAATTTGGTTGCTAAATGGCTACCATTATTATGACCACTGTTGTTATGGGATCTCTCGGTAGAATATTTAGGGGACACGTTCTAGACTCTTTCCCAGGGCTGTCAAACACGTGGCCTGCGGGCCAGATGTGTCACGCACTGGCCACACCCGCTTTAGCAAAGAGGAAAAGTCCCAATACGTCACCTTACACTGCTGTGACACCGTGAGTTTTGACACCCTTGCTCTATCCTATAATACATTTTGAAAAGATGCAAAAATAAGAGGATCTAAATTTAACTGACTTGGTTTGATTGGGCTGTTACAGTGTTATTTGTCTTCTATTAACTAGTTTTGATTAAAACAATCTTCAGGCAAACGAACCTGAAGCTATAGTAATCATCTTGTTATTGAGATGTAGATTTTTAGCAAGTGTTTCTTGCAGCATTTTTAATACAATCTTTCTCCAAATCATTCCTTCAAGCCATACTAAAGAGAGAGAAGTGGGCCAAAGCAACCATCAGTTCTCTTTATTTGTCTCCTAAATATTGTTTAGCAGCCTTTCCTATCAGACTGCAGCACAGGGAAGCGTTCTGGAGCACAATTGACAGCCCACAAATATTTGACACTTCTTTTTCAGCTGATCATAAGATTGACCACTTTGGCTTTTTAAAGCTAATTTAGATAGTTGTAACAAGAGCTAAGCACAAAAGTTCCTGGGTCTGGATTTAGTTGCTTTCCGTTTCCTTCCCCATTCTTTTTTTTTTTTCCCTTCTCAGGCAATTCTTTTTAGATTGTAAACTTGAGGTCAGGGACTGTCTCTTCTTTTTATTGATTTGTAAGCCTTTCTGGGAGTCTTTGTGGCTGAAAGGAAGGTATGAATGCCATAAATAAATAATTACTTTGACATTGACAGAGCTTGGAAAATCATCCTAATTTTGTGTACCCTTGATAGATTGTAAGAAGCTGGTGTAAGAAATTAGATCTGCGTTGACAAGCTAAGTGCTTAAGAATCTGAATAAGATTATTGTGATGCTTTTGACCCTTTTGATTTTATGTAGATAAATTTCTTTCACGAACTGCAAAATTTATTCTGTATATCAAACCAGATTTCTGGTTGCTCAGACTGTAATTTTTATTAACACTTGGGCAGATAACTTTCCATCTACTCCTCCAGACCAGGGATCTTACTTAGAAGTTTTGCATGAAAAGTCTTAAGCACCTCTTTCAGAGTCATCTGCTTTTCTTAGAGGTGTCATTCACCACTTAGTGCTCAACTTTTAAAAACAGAATTCTGGTTGACCTAAATTGTTACTGAAAGAAATCTGTTATTTAAGATGTAGCCATGTTCTTGTTATATTATGTATACCACTTCGGTAGGAAGGTAACAGCATTCCGTGTGCCTTTGGCGTATAGCCATGCTGGCCACATGACCACAGAAATTGTCTTTGGACAACACTGGTTCCCTTGGCCAAGAAACAGAGTTGAGCATTGTGCCTAGAGTCAGACATGATTGATAGGAGGGAAACCTTTAGCTTTACTTTTTATAGCTAATAGCTAAAGAAATACAGCAAAACTTTAGCATGAAAATTTGTAGGTGATAAGTGTGGGATGGAAGAGTTCTGTGTGTAGAATTGCTGATTACAGTAATGAAGAGCACTTGTAGTAATTTAATAGCAAGCTGTAGTAATTTAATAGCAAGGCTTGACTAGCATTATATCAGGTTATGCAATTAGTGACACTAATTGCACAACCTAATATAATGCTAGTCAAGCTTTGCTATTAAATTACTACAGCCTTGCAGTTTGAATAAATTCTTTTACTTTAGTAGGTTTTGTTGATAAATGTTTCCTTCCCATCTTTCCTAAACTGCTCAGATTTTTATACCACAGAAAAGTTTTACATTGCATTTCTAATTTGCTTTAAACCTCTTTAAGATTGGCCTACTCAGATTCATTTCTAAATTGGGAGATGTCAAAAAGATGTGAAAGGATTGTGAAACTCAGTACAGGTTTACTCAAAATAGTGATGGAAAAAGGTATTCACTATGAATATTCATGCTTAAATGTGTACATGAACTTGGAAACTATAGTTATTATTACCTTAAGTTCTGTTTAATAAAGTAGTTATAAAAGATGACATTTTTGTTTATTTCATTTCCCTCAATGTAACCTGACAAAAATACGTTTGGGAAACACCATTAAGAATAACTACCTTCAGTTCTAGAAAATTTGTAGCCCTTGAAAAACATTAAAGACTACTGGGTGTTCTTTTATTACATTTCATGTTTTAAAAAAAAGTAGTTTCCTTTGATTCAATTTAAACTTCTGGACATTTTTATGTAGTTCTCTTGACAACAGTACAGGATATGTTTGCCATTAATCTAAGCCTTTTTTCCACAATCGTTTTTTGACTTCTAATGTAACTTTCAGCTCTGAGGTTCCCTGGAGATTTCTACCCAAAAAATCAGCAAAGTCACTTAGATGCCATCAACTAGCAAACTCAAGTATTTTTATTAACAGGTCTCTGTCCTGAATCCAAAGACATTTTTTTCCTGTCATATACTAAACCTCCTTTTAGCAAAAGAGACACCCCGCCCCCCTTGATATACTAAACATCCTTTTAGCATGTCATCCTATAACTGAATTTTCTGCTTACATAAATGCTGTAAATGCTAGACACCTTCAATGCTACATATTACTTTTAATTCGCCTTAACAACTTTAACAACAATATATATAATATATATAAATATTATATAATACTTCAGCACTGGCCTGGTGTTTCCTGTGGCAATGCAGCACTTCAGATTTGAAGGAGAAATATGGTTTTGGATTACAGGGAGGTACCCCTATTGCATCTGTCAGCTACTGCTTTAGGAGAGGCATCCTTTCTTCTGGATTGAATGGCTGCCATCTACAGTTGCTACAGGATCCTTTAAGGAATTGTTGAGACATGTGTCCTTCTCTGAAATACATGTTTCTTTCTGTGTAGAGAGCCACAGAGATGGCCTTGAAGGCAATATACAGAAGCAACAAGGGCAGGGACATTCTTGAAGCCCAAGGGAAAGGAGATATTGTTAGGAAGAGACTTGAGTTGACTCATTCCTGACTAAGCAAACTAGCAACTAGCAAATGCAATTTTGGCCTTCCCATGGAATCAATTTTCTGATCTAGTCAAGCTCAGAGAGCTATTACTTCAAATCCAAAGCTTTTTGTAGTCCTAGTGCTGGCTACATTGAACATTTTAGAGCTAAGGTGCAGTAGATGTTTTTAAATGCACAGCAGTTATATAAAAAAAGGTCATTCGTGCTCTTGTTTTACAAAATATTGAAAGCAATCTATGTGTGCTATAGCAATAGCACTTAGACTTATATACCACTTTACCAGGGATGAAATCCAGCAGGTTTTGACAGGTTCTGGAGAACCAGTAGTGGAAATTTTGAGCAGTTTGGAGAACCGGTAGCGGAAATTTTGAGTAATTCGGAGAACTAGCAAATATCACCTCTGGCTGGCCCCAGAGTGGGTTGGGAATGGAGATTTTGCAATATCCTTCCCCCAAGAGTGGGGAGGGAATGGGGATTTGGCAGTATCCTTCCCCTGCCACGCCCACCAAGCCACACCAAGCCCACCAAGCCATGCCCACAGAACCAGTAGTAAAAAAATTTGGATTTCACCACTGCACTTTACAGTGCTTTACCAGCGCTCTCTAAGCGGTGTACAGAGTCAGCATATTGTCCCCAACAATTTGGGTCCTCATTTTTCCAATCTCGGAAGGATGGAAGGTTGAGTCAACCTTCAGCCTGGTAAGATTTGAACTGCCAAATTTATTTATTTAATTATCATATTTGTATACCGCCCTACTCCCGAAGGACTCAGGGCGGTGAACAGCCAAAATAAAATACAAAGACATTCAAAAGTTAAAAACTATTAAAAAACAGATTAAATAATTTAGGCTTAAAAAATTAAAAACATCCAATTTATCTAAAAAACATTTAAAACCCAATTTAAAACCCAATTTAAAAGGGAGAGTTAGGCCAGACCAGCCTGTTGGAATAAAAACGTTTTTAGGGTGTGGCGGAAGATGTGTAAGTCTTGGATCCTCCGTATCTCCGGGGGGAGCTCGTTCCAGATGGCAGGTGCCCCCACAGAGAAGGCTCTCCCCCTGGGGGCCGCCAGTCGACATTGTTTGGCCGATGGCACCCTGAGGAGCCCCTCTCTATGGGAGCAAACTGGTCGGTGAGAGGCTACTGGTGGCAGAAGGCGGTCTCGTAAGTACCCTGGTCCTGAGCCATGGAGCGCTCTAAAGGTGGTAACCAAAACCTTAAAGCGCACCCGGAAGACCACTGGGAGCCAGTGCAGCTCGCGCAGGAGGGGGGTCA